ACACACACACACACACACACTCTCTCTCTCTCTCTCACACACACACACACAAACACACACGCACAGACAGACAGACACACACACTCTCTCTCTCTCTCTCTCTCTCACACACACACACACACACACACACACACACACACACAGAGAGAGACAGACAGACACACACACACACACACACACACACACACACACACACACACAGAGACAGACACACACACACACAGAGACAGACACACACACACACACACACACACACACACACTGGCCAACAATACCTCCATTTTTCACGGAAGTATTGTTTGATATAATAACGGTTACATGTATAATAAAATGGAAGAAGGTGAATTTTTACCCGAACAACGAAGGCAGTAGCCACAGAAGGAGGGACTTTCTTTTACACAACAAAGTATAGTCTCACCTTGCTTACCTTCTCACCTTGTAAGCAAGGTGAGACTATACTGGTTGTGTAAAAGAAAATCCCTATATCCTATCCTATCCTATCCTATCCTATCCTATCCTATCCTATCCTATCCTATCCTATCCTATACTCAACCAACCTGATGTAGCTATTTTCAGAACAGACACAAGTACACACACGTGAAGTTGTTCCTACCGTCTGGTTGCAGAAGACTGCATCAAATCAACATGAACGTTGTTTTCTGATAACAAAACCCTGTCCAACAACTCTTGTGGCCTGCGGGGTACAAATGAACCAAAATGAGATTACGTAAAGTTCTTTAGCACAGTAATATTTCAAGATCACGATATCGATGCTACAAGTAAGTCGGAAACTGTTTGCACAAAGGTACAGTGTTTTTGGTAGAATTTTGTACACGCTATTCATTGTATTGCTTTGATTTTAAAGGATTGAATAAAGTTGCCCTAGCCAAGGACCTTACCCCCAGCCAAGGACCTTCCCCCCAGGCTACATTGGTTGCTTCTGCGGATGTTACTAGACCATGTCTAACGACTTTCTGATGACCCTGGTTTACACATAGGAGCGAGGTCGCCGTGACTAGGCGTAGTTACAACTGTTATCGGGTGAGCTGACGTCATGACTTAATTCTTTCTTGCAGTCGGGTGCTGCATTGCGGGGCTAAACCGCATGGGTCTGTAAGAGCAACCGTTTTGGGGCTTCGATTAGCTTAGCCAAGAATGTTGTGTTTATGGGAGCGGAAAGGGGGAGGTCAACAGATAGATATTCATGACTTTGCATTTGAAAAGACAAATGAATATAGATAAGTAATTTTCTGCATCATATATATATATATATGATCCTGTAATTGTAACGTACAAAATGGACTTGTAGGTGAGAGACTACTTGTCATGCATAAAGTGTAATTTATTTCAAAATATTCTATATATCCTCTATCATAGTTCCAATTGTAAACAAACAATCCTTACACCTTACATTTTCCTTTTGCTTATCACTACCTAGCTGAAAGGCAGTTACACCAGCTATGCAGACACCACCTGCCTTGCATGTAATTTACCCTCAATATTTCAGTATCGCAAACAATCAATATTGTCCCCAATGTTATGTTAAATGTGACAGTGTCAAAGCCTGCCCAGATTTCAAAAACTACCGATTTTTTGTAGCCGTTTTTTGCGAGATGAGATCATTCATTCTTAAAGAAAAATATCGCGTCTTGAACTGAAGTTTATCCTGGATTTCGTTCATAGGGCGAGTCGCATCTCCTCTGGTTTGCCGTGCTCTTCCTTTATTTCTTCAAGAAATTTCTTCTTCACCGCCCATTCACGTATTGCGCCAGGGACTTTCTTTTCATCACTTTTCTTATCATTTCCTTTTACTCCATCACCCCAAAATGTTTCCTCTCCTCCTTCTTCATTAATATCTTCTCCATCATATTCTTTTCCATGGCCTCCTCCATCTTTGTCACTTCCTTTTTCTTCATTTTCATCACTTCTTTTGTCTTCATCATCTTCGTCACTCCCTTCTTCTTCATCATCACTCGATTCTTCATCACTCTCTTCTTCTTCTTCACTCTCTTCTTCACTCTCTTCTTCACTCTCTTCTTCACTCTCTTCTTCACTCTCTTCTTCTTCACTCTCTTCTTCACTCTCTTCTTCTTCACTCTCTTCTTCACTCTCTTCTTCTTCACTCTCTTCTCCACTCTCTTCTTCTTCACTCTCTTCTTTACTCTCTTCTTCTTCTTCACTCTCTTCTTCACTCTCTTCTTCACTCTCTTCTTCACTCTCTTCTTCATCTTCACTCTCTTCTTCTTCTTCCTCACTCTTTTCTTCTTCCTCTTCATCACTCGATTCATCTTCTTCATCTTCATCACTATCTCCATCTTCATCTTTCGATTCGTCATCTTCATCACTTTCTTCTTCTTCATCATCATCATCATCATCATCATCTCTCTCTTTTTCTTCATCTCCACTTTCTTCTCCATCACTTTCTCCTACTTCAGCTTTATCACCTCCCTCTTCATCAGCTCCTTCTGCCTCCCCGCTTTCTGCCTGATATGTACCGCCTTCAGACCCTAAAAAGATGGTGAAGAGTTTAATTCCTTATAGCTAGAAATAGACTGTAATAAGTATTATTGTAGACTTTACAGATTTCTTCGTATGCTATCATGAACAATGGCGTTTTTCCCCTTATAAAAACATACACCTTGCACAGTACACATGCGTCTCAAACACATTGTTATGGCAAGGCTTCACACGTTACCCATAATTCTGTGATCCGGAAGAATGACTACTGTATATGCTATGATATCCGTACCGTTTCGTTCCCAGGATAGGTCAGGATATCCCGCCACAGTACTGATCATGAGGATCAGCATCAGGCACAGGACGTGGAGGGGCTTCATTCTGACGGCTCGGTGCTCGCTAATCTGTAAAACAGATAAAATTGAACAAAAGTTCGGACAGATTCATTGTAAGTTTCGGCCAACGGAAGGACACTAGTACTTTGGATACTTTATTATGTCCGTTCGCTAACATTACAACGTTAATTTTGTAAGCAGCTAATCTTCCCGGACATTAAAACATACAGATACTAGACATACAAATTACATACAAATCATTACGGCTGATATTTACATTCTATAGCTACATAAACTGATAGACAGATTGATTTATATTGATTTATGAAGCTCCTCCCGAAACGTACATTTACTAGCCGATTGAACGCCATAAGGCAGATAAACAAAAATGACCAAAAGTGAACGTTTACACGAACATCTACCACAGTAGCCACACAACTAAATCAATCCATACATGTAAAGTGTTTCTTACCTGTAAGTTTGAGGAGAATGAAAGAGAAGAATGTGTCAAATAGAGATGTACGTTTCTGATAACGACCCCCTGTTAGACAACTATTCAAGCCTGTAGGGGTGGTGAACCAAGAAGAGATCGGTTTAGGTAAAGTCCTTTAGGACAATATTACCTTAAAGCCATCTTGGTAATACAAGTAAGAAGGATACTGTTTGTGCACAATGTATAATCTTTCTTGTATCATATTTGTACACTCTGTTACTTCTATTGCTTTTATTTTAGAATATTAAATGAGAGGAGACAGCGAGGCCGTCCCCGCAGTCTACTTTGGTTGCTTCTGAGATACTTTTTAGATCTTGTCCAACCACTTCTGATGGTCCTTGAGAGCAGATAGGAGCGAGGTCGCCTTGTGTCCCTGGATAGGTGTACATACTATTGTTTTTGGGTGGGCTGACTATTCGGCCCTCTTCGTGGCAGCCAGGGGCTAAATTTCGAGGGGCTCAAAATGGCCCGTACGGAGTTTGCAAGGATCACCCCGTCATTAGTACAAATTATTGCACTTTTGACAGGATTCACGCCAAACTGCAAATGTTTTGGAAATTTGGTGAAGTTTTTGAGTGAGAAGAATAGCCATCTCACAGAACATGGGGGACTGTTTGTGATACTTGAGGGTGATTAAAAACTACATGTATTATTGACAATATTGTAGAGGATATAGGAAATGTACATTTAATCTATATTTATTCCTCTTTTGAACGTCATGAATTTCAAGAATAAATCGGCAAACATTATATAGGACTTTTATCAAAGAAAAGAATTGGTAGTATTCTCACTGGTTGTCGCTGCTAGATGCGCATTTTATAGCGCTTGCAAAGCGCCTCCGAGCGATTTTTCCTCAACATGCAACTATCCAGATGTCATCTAGTCCTAATTTTGCCAATCGCAACTATTACAATCGTGATAATAAACATCGTTACGTTCTGTCCTTTGCAGATGGACTGCGAATGCTTCAATGTTTTCTATTTCTGCCGCAAAAACAGCTATTTCATTGATTTAGACATCCCTGTTGACACAACTAGCGTTAAAACCAGCGTGCATCTAAGCCCGGTGTCATTGGCATTAAGCCCGGTGTTAGAGCAAAAAGAAACTTGATAAGCCAGTTTCAAATTTCAAAATAGACCAATCATGTGACCGGGTATGTTCTCACAGGTACAGTCTGTATTTATTGTTACCCTTCCTGAACTTTGGACCTTGATCATGTACATTGTACTTGTCGATATTATGATATGTAGTATCTTTCAAAGCTTTGCCCTATCTTGTTCATATAGTTGAAACAAACATCGCACAATGTCATCTTCCCCTCTTTTGACCTGAAACAACAAGGAGGCCGGCTTGGATGGGAGTTCCCATGATTGTACAACCAACATGTCTCCCAGGAAAGCTTCTTTCTGGAACAACATGGCGATTTTCTTCACAGGATATATCAGCACGTCTCCTGATAGAGATTTGTACCTACCGGCCTTCGTACCAAAGGCAGCCGTATCGTAACATAGCCGGATGAAAGCAGATTGCCTGGTGTGATCATTCGCATCTACATCATTATCCTCGACCCTAAACGTGTGGGAGTACATTGCTTGTTGACTCGAGGGCATCGACAGACTAAACGTTGGCCGGGGGCCCTCTCCCTTCCTCCGCAGATTTTGTGGAAGATCTGTCGGCTGCCGAGTCGACATGTCCACGTTAACCAGCTGTAAGTTGAAGTGACATAGAACGCCTTGAGTTGTTGCAAGGCGAACATCTCCCTTGCAGATCCAAGATGTCTTACCCACGTACCCAACCCCAGACGCGACCTGTACAGCGGAGTTGAACTTGACATGAGTGTAGAGTTCAGGGTGTAGGTAGAACTCCTGGTATCGTAAGAAGCTAGCGACTGTCTCCAGGTGACCGGGGATGTAGAAGACGTCCGACTGTTCAGGTCCAGAGTAGGCTATCAGCTGTGAGAGGGTCCAGGGCTTCAGGACGCCTCTGCGATCAAAGTTGAATGGACTGAGTTCGTAGGTCGTCACAAGTTTGGTGCCGTCCTCACTCAGCCTTGCCTTCATTTTAACTCCTTACTCTGTCTCCTATGTCTGGTCTGAAACGGATCCAGTCCAAAAGACGAGTGCAGATTTGCAGTTGAAGAATTGGTAGACTTTAAAAAATTGCCGGTGTGTTTTTTTGAGCCGGTGGTTCTGACTTCACCACGGATTGTTTTAGTAGCGACAGAGTCCTGTAAAAGTAGGCGGTGCCTGCCCTGGACTTTGATCGCCTAATACGTCACTACACTATGCACTACAGTCTGGTGATGACCTTTCGCCCGTGTATCACTACCTGTTAGAGGCCCTACACTTTCATCCTACATTCGCACAGAATACATTTTTGGGAAAAGCCGGCAGATTTGTCGTACAAAGTTACTTGATACTGAAGAGGCTATGTGTGTGTGTGTGGGGGGGGGGGGGGGTCACACTGCTGCGCATCCCCCCTTCACATGGGGTTGCGTATTGACCATTTTTTTTCGTACGTACATGTAGTTATACGCACAAGATGCGCGACACGAAACCCACAACACAGCCACTCAAAGCAATACTTCCGCGTACCAGAAGTAAGAAGCTCAGTCGTAGAGTCCGCCAAGGAGGCTAATGACGTAATGGTTTCGGTCTCCAAACTACCATACTTGTGCAATGTGGACCAGTCTGATTTCCCTGAGGAAGGTGACAGGCAATCACTGAATAAAACACTTGGTTGTGTAAAAAGAGTATCTTTATTCGGAAACTGGAACAGATGAGTAAAAATCCTACTCACGGCCATGTCGACACTTGTTTACACTGATTCACTACTAAGTCATAAAAAACTGCATGCCCTTTGGACAGAATATACGGGTGTGAGAAAACAAAAGTTGAGATCATTTGTACAACACTATTTTCACCTAGTATTACGAAGACATTGGCATCATATCTATACCGAGAAATGTCTAAATGCGTTTCGTAACGTGCTATTTGTTACCTTCATCGAGAAGATTATATATCAGTTACCATATATAGGGTTAAGGCTATACCCTGTAGTGTGGTGCACGTACCGTCATGATATTTTGGTAGGTAGGTTTGGGTCGGGACAACAGAGGTCAAAGTCAATTATGGACCATCTAGCGACTTTGTAAGGTACTGAAGGGATTTCTAACTAAAAGAACGGCAACAAAGCAATGTAATACATGTTCTAATATTCTCCCTGATACACTACAGTTTCCACTGTCAACAACCGGACCATTCTTTGACCTTGGTTGGTGTCTCGCCAGTACTAGTGTACGCGTCATGTCCACAGCACTTCTTGTGTCCGACAGTCCAGTGTTGTTTCTGACAGTCACGGCTGCAGTACCGGGTCAACTTGCACTGGGCACACAGCTTCAAGGTGGCTCTGTAGAAGAAGGAACAAAAAAATCAACTGCCTTTTTCCTTCCTGCCTTCCTGCCATTCTAATGCATTCAACTATTTAGAGGCACCAACGCAAACACATACACAGAGTACAGAGAGTGGGGTCGCGTGGTGTAGCGGCAGCGTGCTCGACTCGGAACCAAGAGTTCCCGGGTTCTCGAGTCCTGATATGCCACCCACCTTGTGCCATTGGGAAAGGCACTTTACATGACTTTCCCGAGTATTGTCTATTGCTGAGTTGGTGGCGGCATAAAATAAGTTGATATAACTTCACCATGTCTAGTCATGAAATGTTTGAATATATTAAAAAATATTACAGAGACATCTAAAACAATATCAGGAATGACAAAACCCTACCTGTAGCCTGGTTTGCCACACGTAGGGTTACAGCATCTCAACAGCCCGGTCTTCATTGCCTCTCGTATCATCTTCATCATCACCATACAGTCGCGGTCTCCGACTTCTCCGACTATGTCCCAAAAACAGTACCTATAGTGGAATTAGGGAACGATAAGTCAGACATGCAGGATGACTTTGGGTTATCCTGACCTTCATGTTCGTCCCATTTCCCGTGTGTGACCTTTTGAGCTCCTGCCATTCAGCCTATCATCATCTAACCCACGTGCTGTCAAGCCCATGCCCTGCTACTAGAAATGTCAGTCACATGCTGCCGAGATAGTGCCAACCTTCTCCGTCCGGACAAACAGATACGCAAACCCATAGCTCAGCCACCCCAAACAAAATTTAGGCCATGTTGATTTGATTATATGGATGACCCTCTGGGAACCCCAAAACTGATGCGAGTGTGCGAATAAAAAAACGTTTGGCAAAAAAAGGTGCCTTCATAAAATCTAGGTGGTCATGAAGGTTGAACAAATTTTTCATTGACGTGGTGAATAATAGACTCTTCATTTTCATTTCTTCACGTTTTCTTTTTGTCCTTTGGAATGGATTTTGGCATTCTGTGACATGAGTATCGTTTTCCATTTTTTTTTCCATTTTTTTTTTTATTATTGAAACAAGACAAGTGACAAGACGTGGTGGCAACACACTCAAGTTACACTTTTGTCAATTTACGACCTATATTTGCTCATCTTGCAGCTACTTTGTACGATTTACAGTACGGTCGAAAACTTTTTGGAAACAGACAAAAATTAATGCGCGCGCAGATGTCATCCATATAATCAAATCAACATGGCCTTACATATAGAAAAATAACAGTCTAAAAAGACGTGACACTTACATGTCTGCTGTCTGGGAATAACAGTCGACCAAATCAAGTCTTGCTCCGAGCTCAATCAGTCGCTTAACTGTGTGAACTTTTTTGAACATACAGGCAGCCATGATGGGCGTCCTCTGGTAGGCGTCCCGCACGTCTAATGTTGCACCATGTTGGACAAGCAAGTCTACCACTTCTGTATACCCTGGATTTGGGAGGTAAAAATACACATCAACAAAACGTTACATTCCAGAAAACAATAGAACTATAATAGTATTATGCAACACGAATAACCGTCATAAACGTCAACCATTCTGACGACGTGGTAAGTATAGTTTGTTACTGTGTTTTTTGTTACTTATTTCTATTGAAATGTCAACGCAATTCAGAAGGCTACCTTTGGAAGTACAATACACATGGGACGTGGATGCTATTTGTGTCATTTTGTTGGTTACTAGTACTTGAATGAAATAGTAAAGAAAAAAACAGAATACAATTTTGGGCCGCCTGGTGGCTTGTTAGTCTAACATACCGTGGCCGATAGGGACAATTCTGCTCAACACACTGTGTAGGGAAGACAAAAGTCAGTATAGGGAAGACAAATGTCAGTGTAAGGAAGACAAAGTCAGTGTGGAGAAGACAAAAGTCAATGTGTTAAGCAGAATTGTCCCTATAGGCCACGGTACTAACAGACCAAAATGTTTTAAAAGGACGGCCTACCTCCGATCGCTGCGCCATGAAGGGGGGCAGATGACGATTTTTCGGTTCTCTTTGTTAGAGACGCCCCCGTGCGGAGCAGCATTTTCACTATGTCTACATGCCCGAAGAAAGACGCCATGTACAGAGCTGGGTTCCTACCAGTACGGGCGACGACCTCGTTGGCCAGCTTGGTGTAGTCAATGTCTGTTCCTGAGTTTGGTAATGTACAGTTTAGGCCATGTTGATTTGATTATATGGATGACATCCACTGCTAGACTTGAGTTTTTTTATCAACTTTTTACATTCTGTGTGCTGCCTTGCGGGCATGACTTACAAACTATTGAAAGATACACATTTACCAGGCTTGGACATAATCCTAGTACAGTACATGTACAATATAACTGAGACTCCAGGGGATATAGTCACTGCTGTATATACTGTAATGCATAATTAGCTACTAGTAGAACAAAAGACATAGTGACACACAGCAGTTCTGCTAGACGTACCTATTCTTTTAAAGCTCGTATGTAAATTGTCTACACAGCACAACAATGATCAAAGGGGGGTCGCTAGTAGTGTGTGTCTTTATCTTGAAATTTACATTTGAATAATCATCTACTGGTTCTCTACTGGTAGATTGCAAAATGTGCCCCAACTTTTCTGGTACATGTATAAACATAAGGAGGTGTGCACATGTACTGTACTAGTATATAAGGGGTATGTTCAGTCTGTTTGCCCAAATGCTGCCTAGACTAAATGATATTTAGGTTACTAAAGGGTGTTGGTAAAGTGCATGTGCATTGTGTGTATTAGAGTATCTCATATTGAACCAAACGAAGTTAAAACCTCAGCATCATGTTTAAAGCTCCTTGATACAACGAAAACACACGACTCCAGCAACTGCAATTTGGAACCTGCAATAGTTTACTTGGCTCGGCACCTGGTGGTATGGCGCGAAAATATTATAGCTTGAAAATTGTACAAATTGGCCAAAAAGACTGAATACTGGTACAAGTACTAGCAGTATGCGTTAGGCTTCAGAGATTACATAGCATGCATCATTCTAGTAACATACTGTAAATTGTATTTTAGAGGTATAGCAAATACATGTACATATAGGTGCTCACCAGCTTCCAAAGCAGCAGCTTGCACTAGAGCTTCGAATTCACTCGCTTTTTCCGCCATGTCGACGTTCATCATTAGGACCGCTGTTGTTGTGTAGACCTTGTGCGGTTGCTGTCTGAATTTGAACTGAAGACTCGAAAGCCTCGGTCATGGGGTCAGCAAAGGATTATGGGAAGTGTTGAGTACAATAAGTCACGTGACAAGGCAACTACTGCCCATGACTCCATGACTGAGGCTTCTGAGTCTTCAGTACGACTTCAGACAGCAGCCGGGCAAGGTGTCCAAGACAGCAGCGATCCTAGCGGAATGACGGGAAAGCGTGTGAATGAAGCTCTGCTGTCTGCTGCCGAGAACGGCTCACTTCGAGGCGTTAGAGCGGCTTTGGAAGCTGGTAAGCAACTATTTACTGAACCTCTAGCTGTAGACTATCAGGTGCTTTATGTTACTTACATGCATTTTACCCTCTGACGGGCTATTAAACTCTACTGACATTCAGAACATTTGGTCACTTTCTACTATTTTTCAAGCAACATGGGGGTAAGTCTAGTAGATGCGCACTATAAATGCTAGCTCTTTATACCTGAATTTACCTGAATTTACCTGAACTGCAGAGATATCGTCTTATCTCCGCAGTCAGGAGCTTGATGGCGGGTAGCCTCTGGTCGCTCCTCCGTCTAATACGGTCTTGTCGATGTGTAGATCTATGCTACTCTTGAACCCGTTCACACTGGTTTGCTGCACAACTTCTTGGGGTAGTTGAATCCATACAGAGATTGATCGTACTGCAAATGACTTTTTCCGGATTTCTAGTCTTGTTTTAGGTATTTTTAGTCTCAAACTGTGGCCTCTTGTATTGTAGGGGGTGTCGAGCGGTTGGAAAAGTGTGTCCTTGTCAATACCCTCTGGCCCCTTTACAATTTTGAATACTTCCAACATGTCTCCTCGGAATCTTCTGATTGCGAGGCTTATTAGTCCCATTTTCTTGAGCCGTTGTGTGTAAGGTAGTTCTTGCAGTTCAGGTATCATCCTACTGGCCCTTCTTTGGACTGCCTCTATGAGATCGATGTCTTTCTGTAGCCACGGTCTACAACCAGGTCTCGATCAAAGTTGTAGGAATTTGGGTTCTAAATTTATGAAGCTTGCTGGGTGGAGTTTTCGTGATCTAAAATAACCTGAATATGGCGATAACCTGACTACACACGACAAGCATGTACTTTTCTTTTGCTCCTAATAGTACGCTATACATCCTTTATGTTACATTTTCTTACATGTGCTGTGCAGACAATTTACATATACTGAAAAGGAGAGTCTGCTGGGGGTCACTATGTCTTTTGTTATAGTTAATCTCGCATTACAATAAGCGAACTGTCAAAGAACTGACATCACCAAACTCACATTGAAAATGTGGAAAAAATGCATTCCTTTGTAGCAACACATTTGCCAATGTTGTAATTTAGATAGAATGATGAGTGTCATTTTGTTGTTGGCTGTATATTATATATTAAAACAGCAACGAGAGAAATAATCTCAACTTTCCTACTATTGTGTCAACGATGTGAAGTGTCTGTTGTGTAATGTAGTTTTACTAATTGCTATAACGCAGGTGCAGACATTGACTACGTCCAGCCGGGCAACATTACATATGGCAGGGATACGGCACTGTACACCGCTTCCTTCATGGGGCACATAGGCATGGTGAAACTGCTGCTCCGCAAGGGGGCGTCTCTAACAAAGAGAGGTGTTATTGCATCGTCCTCTCCCCTTCATGGAGCAGCGAGAGAAGGTAGGCAGTCGATTTAAAACCTAGGTGAACATGTACTAACGGTAGTATAAACAAAAAGAAGTCGTAAACATCATCCCTTCATGAAATAGTTTGTTTTGTTATCTTTTTGGTGTTTTTTTGGTCACTTATGTATATAGGGTTATTACTCCGTGAATGAGGTATCCCTCCCACAGGAATACTGTGGTCAGTTGTTTTTTTGCGTTCGAAGCTAAAACACACGGTTCCCTTGGTTTAATCGGCAAGTGATTTTGTACGTAGTCTGTGGTCATGCCAGTGATGATGTCCATAGATGCTGATGTTTATTTGTGTTTATATTGCATAATCCAAACCAAGGGTATACAGAAGTGGTGGAGTTGCTGGTACATCATGGTGCAACGTTAGACGTACGGGACGGTATACAGACCACGCCACTCATGAATGCCTGTATGTACAAACGGGTCGACACAGTTCGGCGACTGATTGAACTCGGAGCAAGAGTTGATTTGGCCGACTATCGTGGCTTCACTGCAAGGAGGCAAGTGTTCGAACGTTTATTTGTTTATTTATTTGTTCATTTTCGTTTTCTTTAGCCAGGGTAGACTACTCAGTGACTAAACATAGTCTCCACCAGACTTCTTTTGCAGGCTGAATAAATGGTAGAAATCGGTATAGAAGGGTATTAATTGGCGAGAGAAGGTAGCCGGCCATCGACGCAGGGTCATCGACGATCATATTGGCCTTGCGATCGTCGATGGCCGGTTACCTTCTCTCGCCAATTCATACCCTTTTATACCGATTTATCCAGACTGCAAATGAAGTCTAATGGAGACTAGACCAAACACTGATTTGGGGCCATGGGGACGTTGGACGAATGACTCTTACCTCCAGGTATGAAAGTATTGTTTTGGGTGGCTTTGTTGTGGGTTTGTATGTGTATCTGTCAGCAGAAAAAAATGACAGAATGACAATAGGCCAGACACTGGAAATGGGGTAAACTTGAGAGAAGATTGATAGCACATGGATGGGTTGAAGTCAGACGGAATGGTCAGAATGTCAGACACGGGAAATGGGGTGAACTTGAAGGTAAAGAAATCCACAAACTGAGAACCCCTCGGAAGACTGGAATCTCCCAGTTCCTGCTCATTGAATGTATCACATCTCTCCCATTAGGTACTGTTTGTTTGACATAGTCGGAGAAGTCGGAGACAGCGGCTGTATGGAGATGATAAGGCTGATACAAGAGGCAATGGAGACCAAGCTGTTGAGATGCTGTAATCCTACGTGTGGCAAACCAGGCTACAGGTAGGTTTTGTTACCATCGCCTTCTACAACTCTTTTATGTACAAACGTCGTTATTGACCCAAATTGATCATATTGTGTTGAATATATTGAACTTTGAAGTTGAAAAAAAACGAGTGTGCTGTCACCACGTCTTGTGTTTACAGTTGGAATAAAATAAATTTTCATTTGAATTTTCAGTCTTTTTAACCAACAAATTAAAGATTTTAACGTAGTCCCTATAGTAGCTTGTTTTTGTGTAACTGTTCGCTATTCCACAGATCAACCCTGAAGCTGTGTGCACAGTGCAAGTTGACCCGGTACTGCAGCCGTGACTGTCAGAAACAACACTGGACTGCCGGACACAAGAAGTGCTGTGGACATGACGCGTACACCGGCGAGAGACCAGACCTAGGGAAGTTGGTCGAGGAATATCATAGGGAAAATCTAGTGTATTATTAAGATCCGGAAACATCGTAGAACATGTATAACTCATGAAAGTCTTTTGCACCTTTAACGACAGCATGAAATGCCATGGCAGTATTGCTTTAGTGACTGATCATGAGTCGTGAGTTTCTCTCTCTCTCCTAATTGATTCGGTTACATTGTAACTTGATAATTGATAGAACCAATGATTGAGGCGTTCAAAAACTCATTCTTTCCTAGACCTATCGTAGAGTGGATCTCGCTGCCACCATGTACGGGGATGGGGGCATCCTTACTAAATAGATAGCTTTAAGCTATGTTTGGGTTTAGTTGTTCAAAGGAAATATGTAACAAGTTGTTCGGTGTAATATTGCCAGCTGCCGCCGTGCCATGTGCCGGCTACACGGAAAAGATACGGAAACAGAAGATAACTCCTGTGTTGGGTGGGAAAAGTTGGCATTATTGGTAGGGATTTGGTAAGTGGTGTACGGATATAGAGGTTTTGTATCATCCGGTACAACTTAGACTGACCAGTTATACTGTATGTAAATGTTTGTATCTCATGTAGAGCATTGCAGACGTGTTGTGTATGTTTGCTTATACTATGTACTGTATAAATTAAATTGTTGAGAAATAAAGTTTTCGCCGTCATGTAGTATTGGCTACAGTTAACTTACAATGTACCTTTTCTTTGACACAAGAGAAATATGTATCGCTGAATATTTCACGCCGTGGCCTTCCCTGCAGTTCTGAAGGTTTTCGCTAAAAGCCGCTCCCTCACCGCCGGGCTGGTCGCCTCTATACTAGTACATGTATATAGTCGTTCTGACCTTCTACACATATTGCATATCTTGAATGAAGTTTGGTGATCAGATGTTATTCTTTCTTCATGACCGTGAAAGCGAGTGCATGTAGGCAACGTTCCGGTGTGAATTATTCCTATTGTTAACTACTAGTATCTAGACTCTAAGAAGTTATTAATGTTTGTAACGTTAATACTTAATTTCCTTATGTTCTGACTCCCAGGCGGGCAATAATTGCAGAGTAGACAAGTAATTTGGGGGACTGACTTCAAGTTGTTGTCATACGTACTAGTACTTCCCGAAAAACACAGTTCGGACAGTTCAGGCTAACTTCGGGACAGTTGGAATATATTTTGGGGACAGTGCTGGGACAATCAGAAAAAAAGGTAATTTCGTTCTTTTAACTCTGGTCATGCTGCAGACGTGAAGAATATGTACAAAACAATGAAACATCATGATTCATAACTTTATTTCTGGCTAAGAAGTGTTATATAATAATTATAAATCTAGAATAAAACGGTTTACAACCTAGGAAATATTTGATATGCACACTACCACAACATGGTGAGCTAGACCTGCCTAGCGCTAGAGTCTTTTCGAAAGAATCGTTTTTAAAGCAGTTCTGAAGTCCAGCCGGAAGTGCTATTTTCCGACAGTAGTATTTTTTTGAAGTGAAAAATGAATATTTTTTAACAATATGCGCTAAGACACCCATTATGCGCGCACGTATTAAAACGCATCGAATACAACATAAACTCTCCGAATAGCCTCCAAGCTATCCCTGGATGCACCGCGCTATCCCAGAGTCGTGCTTCGGCAAAGTTAGAGAAAAACTCGGTCAGATGTAACAGGACTCTAACTCCTGTGCCCTTTTCGCTGCCAACAATCAGGATTCACAAGGTATGCATCATGCAGTGGATTTAACATACATTTTTGAAAATGTCTAGATATGATATGGGGGTACAATGCTATTCCTAATGATATTTTGCACGACATTTTACAAACTGACACAATAGTGCGAACTCCGAAAGATGAGTATTAAAGATCTGCTGAAGTTTTCGACGGAGGACACGCAGGAGTAAAGCCCAGCTGATTTCTCGTTGTAGGTGTCAAATGATGAATGCGTTTTCACAGTCTCTCTGTAGACAACGTTGTGGCCATGGTACATTCCGGACGCCTCCAACACAGGTCCAATTTGCCTCAGCTCAGACACCACATACAGCCTCACTAAGGGAGTATGACCCATTCACCAGTTATGTGTTTGTATGCTTCATGTTCAAAATGTGAAGCTGCAGAAGTTCAGGCGAGTCGAAGCAGGGATGAAGACATTCGTGGTTCCACGATGATCAGTATTATTGCCATGACCTACAATGCAATATGAAAATGCACAAGGCGTGTCCCTCATTTCTGTACTTAGAGAAATGGTAAAGATGTATTGTGCATTCAGTACTAGGTATATGACACCAATGTATATACATGTATTGTTGTACAATCTAGTATGATCATATACAAGTCCTTGAGAACACGTGGCTTACAATAAATGTGTATATTATATAGGTCACCAGACCAATATGTACGAGCTACTAGTACGTTATGAGTCTGGAACTACATGTAGTACAGTAGTAAGTTTTTTTTTACATTTACAGGTACAATTTGTACGTGCATACGGTACATTATACAGTTCCTGGTACGGTACATTATACAGTTCCTGGTACGGTACATTATACAGTTCCTGGCAGGATAGCCAATTGGAATGGTGATCTCTATGGTTACCATATCTCAATTTAGCGAAATTCTTCGACCAGCCTACAATGCCTACACAACCATACAATGAAATATGAAAATACACATAGCGTACCGATCATTTCTGTACTTAGAGAAATGGTAAAGACTCTTGTGAGTTCAGTACTGGTAAATGTCACCATCACAGCCCAGAAACTAATGTATATACATGTACATGCATTGTTGTACAATCTGGGCGCTTACAATGCAGTAGGGATATTAAAAAAGCGCACCAAATTGTATTTGGAACGAGCTACGCTGTGAGTTCGGAACTACATGTAATACAGTAGTAGGTTTACACATTTATTTACAGACACGATGCATTACACGGGTCCGGATAGCCAAGGCATAGATGTAGTATTTTTTTTCGTTTTTTTTTTTTTTGTAAAAGGTGATCCGTATAGTTACCAAGCTTTGACTATCCTTAAAGATGATTAAAGATCAGAGGTCCTACAATTCAATATTTATAAATGAACGTTGTGAGTATTATTGTACAATATAGTCGCTGGTATGCCATATATATATGACATAAAAACACATCGCAGTATGAGTATATATATTCTACATCAGATCTAGACCGGTTCGGCATCTGAATTGAAATGTATGAGCTTGTGAGTTTGACTACATGTAGTACACAAGCCCTACAATGAAATATGAAAATACACGTAGCGTTCACATACTAGTAATTCTTGTGATTAGAGAAATTGTCAAGATTCGTTGTGAATTCGGAACTGGTAGATGTCACTATCTTAGCCCAGAAAACTAATATATATACTTGTATTGTTGTACAATTGGTGTTTTTAAGGTGCAGCTATTTGGATTCGAGTTCCAGACTAGATGGATGATCCAGAAACTAGATCACTGCATACTTATTTAGGTTCAGTCCACAATTATAGTTTGATATGTCTGTGGTGTAAGGATGGTTGAATTGAGGAGTTGGACTATCACAACAAGTTGCTTTTTTCAAATATTCCTCAATTGAGTTTTTTTTTGCTGTATTTTCCTACAATATTTTGATGCCTGACGCTTACAGCTCATTGGTTACTATGTTATAATTTTTTAGACTTTGCAAACCATTTCCACACAAATTTCAGAACGGTTATGGTATCATTTTACCCTTCCCATGTTGAACTGACTGCTACGCTGTTATGATCCATTTTGCTATTTTTGGCGACGTCTCGTGGAGGAGCCTAGTGGTACAGTATTGTGTGCAGTTTGCAAGAATTCTAGGAATTGTACAGGAATTTTATCCACAGGCATGGAATGTCCACAGGAATGTCTCACAGCTCTGTTTGCTGACACACTCCTGGAACATTCCTGAAAACCCTTAAGAAAACCTGTCTGCCACAGATGCCTTATTTTCCCAGGTACCAAGGCTCCCTCAAAATCATGAAATCATGTCAGTGCCATGTAAACAATAACCCTAACAGCAACCACCGTCGCCATGGCAATGTATGTTTTCATTGCCAGTCTTGTTATCACATATATAATCCTACAAATTAAAAATTTTTGATAATCACTACTTTCATGTTACTCTATTCCATACTAAAAGGTGCTGGCCACCCAGTATTCCATCTCACGCCTAACTCGTTGTGAGCCTTTAATTAGTTCAACAAGATAAATTCTACAGTTAGCTTTATTCGCTGTTATTGTTTTATAATTTTGTGTGAGCACAGTCTTTATTCTTATAAACAATCCTTCTTATCCTGTACATGTACTCTCGAGATCTCCAAGCAGAGGTTTGGGCTTTGGCTTAATGCGCTTGTTTTAGCATGAGTTTAGGCTTTTTAATCGGGCTTTCTTTTGCGTCCTGGCCATCTTTTTGTGCCCGCCCAACAGATACCAGCAAAAAAAGCCTAAAACACGACAAAAACAAGCCACTGCTTAGAGAGTACTTGTTTTGTACAAGTATAGTTATCTGCTTGTGTTCTACATCACTAATTCATGCTCAGGTTTCATAGCTTGGATGCCAGCCTTTTTTTTTACTTTCCCACCAAAAGGCACAAAATCTGACTGGTGATTACACCACGTCATGAGCTAGCTGTGCGGTCCTCTGCTGACCCAGACAAACCACGTGGGCGGTAGTCTTTTTTTGTCAGGAAAACTGTCCAGCACACTAAAGCCCAAAAGGCTGGTATCCAGGCTAGCCAATGTAACGGTTAGTCTGGAGATCGTACATGTGCTGGAGGACATGAAACAGAAGTCTCAACCAGCCTCTATGGTACCAAATATCTTGGTGCAATACTAGAGAATGTTCCTAGACGCTTGGTGCATTTTGTGAATTCGTGTAAAAGCATAAAACAGGTTGAAAACACTTGTTTTGTTAAAAAAAAGACAATCATATGATGGATTTGGGTAAAGATTAGATGTTCTTGCTCACAAAGAGAAAGTCTATTTGTTTGTCCATTGTGACAATTCCCACTCAAAACATATTGACACTTTTTTAATCTCTTTAATTTGACGATGAATCTTAGAAGGTCATGAAACAATTGTTTCCAACAATGATACGGTAAAGATCTGCCCACAACGATCAATTTCGGTTGAAATTGGAAGGTAGGATGTATCCAATTTTCGCTGCAGTACAATTGATCATTTTGAGGTCTCAGAAAGACCTACCCACAAACCAAATACCAAGACAATCCATTTAAGCCTTCTCAAGTTATCTTGTTTACAGACACGCAAACACGCACGCACGCACACGCATACATACACGCGCGCGCATGCACACACACACACACACACACACACACACACACACACACACACACACACACACAAATGCCACCGAAAAATAACCTTGCGCAGGTAA